TTTCATACCATCATTCTCATACTTGTTGTTGTTGTTGTTATGCCCCATAGAATCACCTATGACTCATAGCCATCCTATGTATAGCAGCTTTGAACCCTGCCCTATCCAGAGCCAGTGTCACTGACTCCAATACAGCTACCCTAATTGCCCTAGTTACTGTATCAATCTATCTCATCTGGGGTTCTTCCTCTTCTGCGCTATCCCTCCACCCTCCCAAATATGATGTCCTTCTCCAAGGATTGATCCCTCCTGGCAACATGTCCAAAGTATGTGAGACAGAGCTTAAAATCCTAGACACCAAGGAGAGACTTTGTGTCACCCTCTCCAAAACAGATCAGTTTGTTTCATTGGCTGTTCATGGTATGTTCAAGACTCTTCTCTAGCACCACAACTCAAAGGCCTCAATTCTTCTTCTGTCATCCTTAGTCATTGTCCAGTTCTCTGATGCATAGCAAGAAAATGCAAAGACCATGGCCTGGATCAGGCTTACGTTAGTCTCTAGATTGACATCATTGTTTCTTAGTACTCTGGAAACATCCCTGACAGCAGATTTACCTATTGTAATTTATCTTTTGTTTCCCTGACTGCTAATGCCAAGAGTGTTGATTGTGCAGCCAAACAAGCTATAACTGTTAACAACTTAAATTTCTTCTCTATCTATCATGGTGCTACCAATTGGCCACATATATGGCATTTTATAAAACCAATCACCATTGATCTACTCCATCTATCACCCTATCTTTTCATGTCCCTACTGGATCTTTCCTAATTCCTTCACCCCCTCCCTCTGCTCAACAAACTCTTTAACCCTATGATTTCTCCCTTTCCCACCCCCTGCCAGTTCCCTTCTTTAGCAGGTCCCATTCAGCAAAGTTATCTTCTCCTGATAGTACATTTCTGGCTGTATTTGCCAGTCTATTTATATCACAGGTTAGGCCTTTTAAGTTTGGTCCTATTTTGTCTCTTATGATCTTTATAGTTTGGGGCTTTTCACATAGGTCTCTAACTCACCTTGAGTTGATTTTTGTGTATAGTGTGAGATGTAGATCCTGTTTGAGCTGTCTGCAGGGAGAAGTCCAGTTTTGCCAACACTGTTCGTTGAAGAGATTGTCATTTCCACATTTGATAGGTTTTGTTTCCTTGTCCAATACCAGTTGACCACAGGTAGATGGGTTACTTTCTGGATTCTTAATTCTCTTCCATTAGCCTATGTGCCTGTCGTTGTACCAGTATCATGCTGTTTTGGTTATTACAGCTGTGTAGTAAGTTTTGAGATCAGGGAGTATTGTGCCTCCCACTTCATTTTTTTTCAGGAGTGCTTTGCTTATTTAGGATCTCTTTTCCAAATAAACTTTCCAGTTTCCTTTTCTATCTCTGGCTTTCCCCATGTTGATGCACTTTCTTGCACAGGAGGTGGGTCAAATAAGATAAGAAAACATTGGAAAATAAATGACAACAACAACAAAAACACCCCACAATGTCATTTACAATCCACTAGGTGAAGTGCTTAAGAATAAATCTAACTAGAGACCTACCTAGAGACACAAAACGATCTGTGTAAGGAAAATTACAAAATGTTTCTATAAGAAACCTAATTAAAAGGGAAAATATTCCCTGTTTAAAATAGGAAAACTCTCCATGGTGAGAATGGCAGCCCTATCTAAAGCAATCTACAGGTTCAACGGAATCCAATACAGATACTGGACTCGCTTTCCACATGTCCAATGGTATCTCCATATAGATATTGAACTCACTCTCCACAGGTTCAGTGGAATCCCAATATAAATACCAAACTCACTTGTCAGGAAGAGAGAAAAAGTTATTTCTAGTATTGTTTGGAAAGGAAAGAGACCTGGACTGAACAAAGATCTTCTGAAAAATAAAGAAGGCATCCCACTCCCTGATTTCAAAACATACTACACAGCCATGGTAGTCAAAACAGCCTGGTAGTGATACAGTGAAAGGCACAAATGGAATAAAATCAAGAATGCAAATTTCATCGCTCTACTTAGATCACATTTCTCCAACGAGGAGAAATGTGATGTCCCTCCTTGTAGAGGGACATCATGCTTGGGAGGGTGGAGGGACAGCGCAAGAAAGGAAGACCTTCTCTGAGATGGATTAATTCAGTCACTGGGGTAATGGGAGTAGGTGCGTCAGTGACAATATGGTTGGCACAGGATAGAGCAGAATATAGGGCTGTTGTACATAAGGTAGCTATGAGTCACAGGCAACTTGATGGTGCATAACAACATAGATCAAATGATAGTCAACAAGGAAATGAAGCCTAGTAAATGGGGAAACAACAGCCTCTTTAACAAATGATACAGGCAAAAACCAACTCGGAATAGATCAGAGACCTAGGATTAAAACAAAACACCATAACAACCAACAGAGAAAAAATAGGGATAACTTTAAAAGCCCTAGTCTATAGCATGAATGGACTTTAAAAATAGCCAAAGATGCATAACCAGGAGAGGATAAAATTGATGAATGGGACTCTCCAAATATCAAGTCCTTATGTTCATCAAAATGTTTTTCCAATAAGGTAAAAAAAGAAAGGCCACAGACTGAGGTAAAATATTTCACAGTGACATTTCATTCAAGGGGTTTGTAACTAAAATTTACAAAATCCAATAATGCATACGCAAGAAAAGGACTGATAATCAGTTAGTTACAAAATGGACAAAAGACATGATGGTCAACAAACACATGAGGAAATGTCCAGAATTGGCAGCAATCAGAGAGATGCAAATAAAAATACAATCTCACCCCAGGAGCAGTAGCAAAGTTGAACAGTGAGCAATAAATGTTGGTGAAGAAGCAGAGAAATTGGAACTCTCATACACTGCTGATGGGCTTGTACAGCAGAATTGAGCTCTGGGGACCTGGTAGCAAGAAACTTCACTGCAATCCCCAAGGCTTGTGTTTCAAATTCACAAGCTCCTCCAGGGGAAAAAATGGGCAATCTCCTGTATGATTAACTGCCTCTGAAAACCCACCAGAGAGTCAACTATAGGTCAATTCTGACTCTACGGTACACAACAACACAATCATCATGGAAGGAAGCAGATTATTTTCTCAAAAAGGTGATTATGGAAATCCCATGTGACCTAGTTAATCCACTAGTAGGACTATATCTGAGGAAATCAGAGCTGAAGCAAAGATGGAGATATATACATCTATGTACCTCACAGCAGCAAGAAAATGGAAAGCAGCTCAAATGCCCATCACCAAATGAATGTATAGAGAAATTGTGGAATATTTGCACAGTGGAATATTATGAAACACTAAATTGGCAGCGTCAGGATGGATGGTGAAGAGATTGAGATTGTTCACAGTTTTAGTCTGCTTGGTTCCACAGTCAACACTCTTGGCACCAGCAGCCAGGAAATTAAAAGACGTATTGCCATGGGAAAGTCTGCTATTAGGGGCCTCTCTAAAGTTCTGAAGAGCATTGGTGTCTCCCTGGAGACTGAGGTACAGTCTTGGTCTTTGCATTCATTTTTTTATGCATCAGAGAGTTGGACAATGAATAGAGAGGATAGAAGGAGAATTGATGCCTTTGAGCTTTGGTGCTGGAGAAGAGTATTGAGGGTACCATGGACTGCTAAGAAAACAAACAGATTCATCCTGAAGAGGGTCAAACCGGGCTGCTCCTTGAAGGCAAGGATTCTGAGGCTTCATCTGACATACTTTGGTCATGTTGTAGGGAGAGACCGTCCTTGGAGAAGGACATCATGCTTGGGAGGGTGGAGGGACAGTGCAGGAGGGGAAGGCCCTGTAGGAGGTGGATTGATTCAGTGACTGGGGTAATAGGGATGGGTGTGTTGGAGACAGTGAGATTGGCACAGGACAGAGCAGAGTTTAGGGCTGTTGTACATAGGGTCTCTATGAATCACAAGCGATTGAAAGCACATAACCACAACAACAACAAAGAAGAAAGAATTCATAATATACTACCCAGCATAGAAATCTAGAGAACATTATGCTGCATTAAATAACTCATTCACAAAAGGACAAATTTTGCATAAAACCATCATTGTGATAATAGGATAACTTGTGGTTAGGAAGTGGAGAAAACAAAGAAGAGAATGTACGGTCAATGACAATAAAAATAAGAGATGATCAACCTGAGGAAAATTAATGGAGGGATACAATGACTATTGCAATTGGCAAATAAAAACAGGATATTTATGACTGTTCATAAGGGAAAGAGGAAGGGGAAATGGGGAGGAGAGAAAGGGAAAGGGAAAAACCACTAGGGTGACAGAGATGAATGGATGAGTGGGGATGTATCTTAAGGAATAGGCAGTGGGCGGTGGGAACCTGATTAGACAGGCATTGATCTATGATAATTACAGTAAATCAATATATGAAGGTATAAAATAAAGGAGCAAAATTTTTTTTAAATGTAGAGTAACTTGGAGAGACTGTCAATTTTTTTTAAAAAAAGGAAACTTCAGGCAATTGCTTCTTGATAGTAATGAAGTCCCTGCTTTTGGCTTGATTTTACAGGTTATGTTCTGGGGAAACTTCTCTTCGAACAGATTAGGGCTGGTTTAGGGTTAAGGTGTTGTGGACATTACCCCAAATCCTTTTACGATGATTTGGTTTATCAGCTCAGGGGAGGTTATTAGATGGCTTTCACATTAGGTCATTACACACATGTGTTTGGGGGGAGCACAGTTCAATCCGTGACAATAACACTGACCAGTACTGAATTCTGCTAAAAGCCATTTACCTTCATTCGTGTTGCTGCAGAGCTCCACAATCCCCTGCTGGATACTGATATAACCACTCACTGTGCTCCAGTCCAGTAAATATCTTTAGTTTTCTGACCCAAATTTGATACCTAATATATTTGTTATTAAATTGCATTTTACTAATTTGATGTTGATGGCATAATTTTGAAGCTTTGAGGAAAACACCCTCTACTGGAATATTTTTCTGACACACACTAAAATGAATTTCTTGTTTTGTTTTTCTCTTCTTTGTAGGTCGAAAGTTTAAAAAGTTCAACAAAGTCAGAGTTATGAGAGCCCTAGATGCAGTCACACTACCACAGCCAGTGGGCATTCCAAATGAAAACCAAGCTCTAAGCCAGAGAATCACTTTTTCACCCAATCAAGAAATACAGTTGATCCCCCCACTGATAAACCTGTTGATGAGCATTGAACCAGATGTGATCTATGCAGGATATGACAACACAAAACCTGATACCTCCAGTTCCTTGCTGACCAGTCTTAACCAACTTGGAGAGAGACAGCTTCTTTCCGTAGTCAAGTGGTCTAAATCACTGCCAGGTAATAATCTGTCTATATCATAGCATGTAATGAAAAGTGTACTGTGTGTTGTGTTAGCAGCTTGTTAAACAAAACAGTACGTACAACTAGACGATAAAATTATGTTCTAGTACCAGTTACTGCAATGTGTGTTATTTGTCCAGGCTCTCACTCTAAACTATGGAAATAAAAGAGGCAGAGAATACATTGATAAATCTGAAATTACATACATAAATACATTGATAAATCTGGAATTACATATATAAAGGAATCTCTGGCTCACTCTCTTTCATTGTCATTAAGTCAAAACTGATTTATAGTGGACCTATTTATAATGGATTATTAGAGGCTGTAAATCTCATAAGAGAGTTACAGAATTGGCCATGAAAAAAAGGTAAGACCCTCTTTCTCTCAAGCAGCAGTTCATGGCATCTCTTAGCTTAAGTTTATGTGTTCAGCTATGATTATTATACTTAGTTGAAAGAAAGGCAAATGGACTGTCTTCTTAAATATTACCATGTTACTCTAGACCTGCATTTATCCTCAGATGGTGAAAAATAAAACCATATATACCTAACTATATAACAACCAAAAGTATATTTAGTTTATGACAACATAACTGAAGAAACTACAGAATTCTTAAACAAAGATAAATAATTTAGACATAGAGAAATGACACTCTAGTTATCACTCCCTCTAAAAATTTGTACACTAAGGACATAATAACCAAACAAGGAGGATTTTATATATTTTTTTTAAATTTTACTAGAGTGAAAGTTTATAAATCATAATGCATTTTCATTCAGTCACTAAACATTTTCTTTTTCAACCAATTTATTAATATTTGCTCCCCTCTCCCTTTCATCTCATCCCTGTTAACCCTCCAATATTGATTCTAACTTTGTATAAAACCGTCTATTCATTTTTTTCTGCCCATTTTCTAATTGGACGAAGAAATTTTATAATTGCCTTTTTTTGTTTTTGTGTTAGAGTTTTCTGTAAATTTTAGAGAAGAATCTCTTATCAGATGTGTAATTGGCAAATATATTTTCCCCTAATCTGTGTTGTTGCTGTTGTTATGTGCCATCGAGTTAACTGTGACTCATAGTGACCCTATGTACAAGAGCCCTAAACCCTGCTCTATCCTGTGCCAACCTCACTGTCTCGGAAACGCCCACTCGCACTACCTCAATCATTGAATTGATCCATTTCATTGAGGATCTTCCTCTCCTGTGTTGTCCCTCTACTCTCCCAAACATGATGTCCCCCTCCAAGGACTGGACCCTCCTTACAACATGCCCAAAATATGTCAAATGAAGCTTCAGGATCCTTGAATCCAAGAAGCAACCCAGTTTCACCCTC